CCAAACACCTTGTCCTGGACATAGTTTCTACAGTATAAACTGTACAACAGTACAGTAGGCCCACACAAACTGCAGAACACTGGTGCTTTGGGAACACTCAAATGATTTAATTCCCATTTAAAATCAGGAGACTAAATACGAACATTATGTGTGTGTGTGTGTGTGTGTGTGTGTGTGTGTGTGTGTGTGTGTGTGTGTGTGTGTGTGTGTGTGTGTGTGTGTGTGTGTGTGTGTGTGTGTGTGTGTGTGTGTGTGTGTGTGTGTGTGTGTGTGTGTGTGTGTGTGTGTGTGTGTGTGTGTGTGTGTGTGTGTGTGTGTGTGTGTCATACTTGCCAACCCTCCCGATTTTCGCGGGAGACTCCCGATTTCATTGCTCTCTCCCGGTTTCCTCCCGGGGTTATATTTCTCCCGCATTTCTGACAAAATCAGATTTACTCACGACTGTTTTCACTCGGACTTTAATACACCATTGTTTGGATTCCATGGTAACGCGTCTCTTTAATAGCGCGCGCAACTCAAAGGGTGAGGAAAATAGTCATAGAAAACTGAACAAGAATCGACAACTCCACCCTCTGCTCACTCCTTTCCTGTAAAATACAGGTCCAGCCCACACATACTGTATGCTCCATGGTGCTACAGGCATTGCCCTTACAACTACAATAAGCATGTAAATGTTAATCTACAGCTCCGGCGATCCACTAGCACCGGAGTCTCCACCTGCAGACGCAGCCATCCTCATCAACTACAGTATACTGTTAGCGTCACCTTGGATACGAGTCTAAACAACTCACAGACTGCACCGGGCGCTGAAATTGCCGCCCTTTGAGCATCAGATCTGACGACGCTGATTGGCTGAAATTATGTTTCGGTGGCATAGTTTACAGATAGCAACAGTCAGCTTGTTGGCTGCTGCTGCTCTGGCTGAGGGCTCCTTTCTACCGCCCGGACGAGAGAGGGTAATGATACACGCTGCGGCCAGGCAGGAAACATGTGACTTATCAGTAACTTTAGACATCGTACACAATTTTAAACGAGATTTTATTGTAGATAATACATTTTACTGATACCAACTATATCATATTTACCTTGTTCATTAAAAATAAAAATAAAATAAAAATATATTTTTTTAATATATTTTTTTATTTATTTTTAATGACAATCAAACATGTGGGAAGAGGGGGGGCGGCCACTGGCATTAGCCCAGCGCACCAACGGAGAGAGACTAACTTATGGCAACACAAAAGAAAACATGGGAGCGGTGGAGATGAGGAGGTGTCGGCGTTCTGGCGATTTACTCAGAAGGCTTCAGTAGAAGCTGCTGGGAGTCCCAGCAGCTTCTACTGAAGCCAGTCCCCAACTCCGGGGACTTCCGGCCGGGGACTTTGGGTGGCAGTATACGCCGTGAAGTGGTTTACGGCCTGCCAGTAAACCCAAAGCAGAAGAAGAAGAAGTGACGTCAGCGGCTTCATTTGCGTAATCTTCCCTAAGGGAACTTATTCCGGTGTGAACGCGATCGGCTCTTACGGCAAAGTACTTGGTGTGAAAGTGGCTTATGTACAAAATTGAGGGGTTTTTTTTTGTTAGTTTTTGTATATGGCCAGTGTGGAGTTGAAACAGGTGGGTCTTGACTCTATCCAACAGAAGATGTGTACATCGTTAGCGGTCCTGATAATAACAGGAGCTGGTTCCAACATTTTGGAGCCATTACATCCAACAGCCATGTTTTAGTTAAGAGGTACCTGGGTCAAACTAGCAGTGGTGAGTCGATGGGCCGATGCGAAGCAAAGTGCGCATAATGTAGTGTATGGTTTAAACAGGGGTGTCAAACTCAAGGAATTCATTTGATGTGGCCCGCAAGAGCTTGCAAATAATAAAATAAGTTTATTATATGGTTACATGCCGCTTTACAGAAGCACACTGCCATTTAAACTACATGTCCCACAATGCATCTCATTTTGTGACATGCGCACTGAAAATACTTATTTGCCCTAGACTTCTGCTTTCAGACGTAGTTAATTATGAAGTTATTACCCTATCTGATAATAATCCAATGCAGAGGCAGTAATGTAGTATAATACATTATTTTATATATATATTATATATATATTTTTTTTTATATGTATATTTGTATAGTCTTAAAGTTACAACCGGCCCTTTGAGTGCAACCATAATGCTGATGTGGCCCGCGATGAAATTGAGTCTGACACCCCTGATTGAAACACTTCCTGGAATTAAGAAGGACCCGATCCATTCACAGCACCATAGGCCAGTAGCAGTGCCCTGAAGCAGATGTGTTTGTTTGCAGTAGTTTAGGACAGTTGGTTGTTCGGCAGAAAGACAGAGGTGCTGTTAACAGTCAGGTCGTGGATGAGAGAGTCCTTACCTGAAAGAGAAAGCTTTATGTTCAGGTTGAGCTTTAAGTGGTTTGCAGACATCCACTAAGAGATGTCAGGCAGACATTCAGCAGATTCATAATTCATAATAAATCATTTTACCTGAAGGCAAAAAGGTTGTTGAACTGCTTCAGGCCCTAACATCTGACGGCTCACAGAAGGCAGAGTTACAGCGGCAGCAGGCAGAGGCCGAGCACTCCTTCCTCTCAAATATAAAATCAAAAATAACACACGTTCTGAGTTCTATATGAAGGATGGTGGATACATATTCAAGCAGGGGCTTGTTCTCTTTGGTTAACAGTAGCCTCCCACAGATGTTGCATTTGGAAGTTGTTTTGTTCACTTTGGTAGATCCACACTTTGTAAAACGTTGAAGTTACCCCCGTGTTCAGTCAGTGCTTTTAACCGCTGTGGCGCTGAGTAAGCTTTCTCTACGTCATTATCTGTCTTTGCAGAGGGCTGTAGGTTTAGAAATCAGAGGTTATATAAATAAAGATAAGGAATTTAAGGTTGAATAATGGATTTATTGACCATTGAGCTCGAGTCTGGCTATTTTACCAATTTAGAACCCGATCATAAATGGTACTGGCTACCAAATCTGTTCCTAAAGCCAATACAACCTTTGCATTTTTCCAATTTCTAAGCTACTTTTTAAAAGATCTCCAAATGCTATCTTAGTTATCTATCACCCATAAAGAGCAAATGATTGGCGCTCTTACATAAAAGATTAGGATTAGGAATTTGTGCGTTTTGTAGAAAAGTATTTGCCAATCTGTGTATATATCTACCTTTGCAATAATCTTCATGTTCATAGAATGATTCATGAAGACTGGGCTGGCAACACAACACCAACACCAGATGTTACAGTCACACACCTTCAAGAGAATCAGTATTTCTTTCTGCCTTGCTGAGGTAGAGCTGTACTTTCTAGGAATATACAGTTTTATAAACTGATGTTTTTATGCTAACCCTAACCCTTATGCTAACCCTACAACTCAAATCAATATACTTTGAAATGAATTGAATTACACCTACAGTATCTGGTTCACACAATGCAGTTGGTTCAAGTTTCAGAGAGTGGTAGGACTTTCAGAAACTCTTCATAGAGTTGTGTTAAACTTGCTGCCTCTGCTCAGCCCCTCTGATGGCAGAGCCTCTGAGAGAGAACACAGCCGTGATGAACACCCCCTCCCCTAGACTCTCATGCAGTATTGATGCAGTGCAGTGTGATCGCTCCTAAATGACGCTGTTTGTTTTGTGTGTATGTTCTGTTTCAGATGCTGTCACTGAGGACTGTCTGATATGGGCTCATGTTTAGGACAACTCTTTTTTCCCTCCTACATCTTGTGTATTTTCTGGCCCACTTCACATGCATTTGGTCAGACATATTATTCAGTTGTTCTTTCTGGATCACCTTCACTTTATTTTGGTGGGAGACAAAAAAGGGATGTGGTGCATTAATACAGAAAAGTGCACATTTTAAATTCCAAATCATAAAATAACCTATTGTAATAATGAATATATCAAATCCTAATAACCCGTATAGTTAAAACTGGTGACTTGATTCCTCCACCAACTATCCCTATTTCAGCTGAGGGTTTTACGACGCTGTTGTTGACTAATGTTCAATCTGTGAAAGTTAATCAACAAACTGTGTCATTTCATACAACTAACAGATTGATAGATGTTGACAGTTTTAGATAAACCTATTATAGGTAACTGATAAATAGTTTGAATGTCATTTTCTGAATATATTTAAACAATGTAACCATTAGTGTGTGCTTAATACATAGAATGAAGTTCAGCTAGAAGATGACTGTCTGGAACACTGTTAGAGCAGAACAATTATACAAAACAATCATGGGGGCAACTGCATTATTTTATCTGATATTGTTCATGTAACATATCAGCTCATGTGGGAAGTGTGTTTTCATATGCATTTAAAAATAAGAATAATGTAAAGTAATACTGTAGTAAACCACAGCACCAATAATATTTGCTATCAGAGTTTTCCATGTTAGCATGACAGAGGAGGGCAGTGGGAATAACTCTTGTTGGTCCAATGAAACCCGGCCCTGTTAAAAAGTCAGAGACTGCAAGACGACTCCTCCCTGTGTATTCAAGTAATTAGAAGTTCTTCCTGCAGGGGAGCCCAGGCCTAAATATTTCATCTGGAGGGAGCCGTGGCAAAACATGTCATGCCGCCTGCGTCTTTTGTGTCCGTTACACACGGTCCGTGGAGCGGGAGCAGCTGGTGGGGGCTTTGTTTCTGGAGATGGACGGGGAGTGTGCACGGCTGTGCGTGGGACCTGCAGGAGACATTCTGTAGCATGGCTGCTCAATTGAATGGGTGTGTGTCGGAGATGTGTGTGTGCAGTGAAGCCGACAGAAGCTGTATCTGTTTTGATCAGAGAAGAGAGAGGCAGATGAAAGGCTCTCTTACAGCAGAGAGGTAGAAGCAGGGCTCCACAGGGACAAAGAGACCATGACTGACTGAGATTAAAAACAGGATCTATAGCAGGGGCACTCACTGACGGTCGCAGATGGATCTTCCTCTTTAATGCTCTCTAATGCTTTTATCTTCTCTCTGCTCTTCCGTCTTGACAGATATGTGTCACAAAGATGTCCACACGCAGCTGCCAGGGAACAGACTCTGTCATCAAGCCCCTGGACACCATACCTGAGGACAGGAAGGTGAGAGTGCAGCGCACGCAGAGCGGCTTCGACCCCTTCGAGAAGCCCGTCAGCCAGGTGAAGAGGGTCCACTCGGAGAACAATGCCTGCCTCGCCGCCAAGACCACGTCCGCCAGCAAGGAGTCACCCAAACTGCGCCGGCACTCCAGCCCCAGCTCTGTGAGTGCTGCACACCGTACACACACCGTGAACACACAGGAAGACTGCTTTATGATGTCTAAAGCTATAGGAGAACAGAGTGCTGCACACCGTGTACACACTGATGCAGTTTGGAGCTGAAGTAGAACAGAGTGCTGCAGTGATGACGTATCCTGTAGGCCGACCCTGAAGTTAGCAGAAGCTGTGGTATTGGAATATTGGAATATTGCAGAAAATAAGACCGTTGGCAATTTCTCACTTGATGCTGATACTTATCCACATATTAAGAAGTAAAGTAAATATACTTTCTGAACCCCCTCTGGGACATTTCACACACAGGTTGATGTACTGTACATGAACAGAACACATTGAAGCTTTGGACATATTCGGATGTATTTTGTGTCGTAGAACCAAATCTAGAAATCTTTTCAGTTTGTGTTAACCACAGACTTTATTTCAGACATTTAAACAAAAACACATTCAAAAAAACGCTGACTATGGGATACGGGAAATGGAATTGGTAAAATGCTAATTCATCATAGATTGAAGAAACAATTTCTGCAACACTCGATTGATCAATACTCCAGCTAGCCTTTAAAGATCGATCCTCTTTATCCTTATGTGAGCATTTTTGTGTAAGTACACCATCGGAAATCGGACACCTGATGATAAAGTCATGTGTAACATTAGCAGAACTAATATTCTGGTTACAAAATGATAAAAATGTATTGAAGTTAAGCGAGCAAAAGCCCTCCCAAAAAACGTCTAAAGGAGATCAAATGTTAAAAAGCACAGGGAAAGTAACATCCCTCCTGTGCAAGGCACGCTCATGTATACAGCACCTTTCAACACAAGGCATTTCAAAGTGCTTCCAAAGTTGAAAACATTAATAGCATTAAGACATATTTCAATAATCCAGTCAAAGAGTTGTCCTTCTGAGTCTTAAATGAATCTATTTCTGAAAAGGCTCACGGCATACAGATCTCTACAGTAACACAGATCTCCTCACACTCATCTGTTTGCTTAGACATGCTGAGTCATGAGATAATTGACCCATGACTCTGTCAAGGGTCACTCACTGAGTGGTCACATGGCCGCTTGTGACTGGACATATCCCAAAGAGATGACATCATCTCAGCTGCATGCATCTACTCACCCCGGCACATAAGGCATGTTATTATCTATGGAGAAAATTCAAACGTTCTGTTCTCTTAATCATCATTTTCAATTACAAAACCTTCTTCCAGGAAGACAGACACAAACTTGATATCATACAATTACAGAATGTACAATCAGCATCACCAAATTATAGATTGTTACATACCTAAGTATCTTGACCCGCCCCCCCCCCCACCCCGCAAAAACGTCTCAGTATGTAATGTTTCCCAAAGGAAAGACAAATGACAGAGCAGGAGAAATATGAACCGTACTGATTATGGAGTATCAGTCACATCAGGGTGTGAAACACATTAAACAGCTGTGCCAGGGTTACCATGGAAACTCAGCTTGTAGTGCTGAGCGAGTGTGTTGGTAGAGATGGTGACTTTTTCTAGTAATTAGTTTATTTGTTGGGGAACTTTCAAAATGTGTTTAAAGTATTAAAATGGCAAATAAGCAGAGATACCATATGACCAGTAAAGCAGGATTTCAATGATTTCTAATGTTGCATTGTCCTCAATATTTCATGATCGCTTTTGTGTTTTTGGCAGCATCATGTCATACAATGGAAGTAAAAGGAAGTAAAAGGGTTAGAACTGATTGAATATTATGTGTTGGAAATGCATTTCAAAATGCATAATAAAACATTCTTATTGCTTGAAATAAGAGCAGCCTTACTTTCCGTGTCCAAGTAAAAGCAGGCTGGATGTACACAGATCACATTAAATATCAAATATAATGTATCAATTATTAATGGAATACAATTCTGCTGGAAACAATGGAGGCGGGGTTAATCTGTATTTAGATGTGAATATAAGTGCATTTTCATCTACCTATTAACATGCTCCTTAGTCATTTAGAGTAGAAACAGAAGTACAAGTCAAAATACTGCAAACTGGTTTTTACACTTTGCTGGGTCAGAAAAGTGTGATTAAAAGTATGCACTGAAAGCTCTGCACTTTAAAGACAGCAAACATAATATTCACACAACAATACGCTTTGTAAGAACAATGAGGAGACCCTTCCGTACATTCATTTGTCACGTTCTTTTTGTGTTTTGTGAGATGTTGTTATGCCTTGACCTTCAGGCCCTGTAGGTCTGACTGGAGCTCTTTTAATTATGACATGACTTGTTGAGCCTTCTGTTTCTATAGTGGTTTGATGGTAAAGGTGCTGATTTTTTGGAGATTAGCATAACGTGACTGAAATGCAGAATGATTCCAATGCATAATTCAACTTCCAACCCCCAAAGTCGAAGGTAGCATGCCCATACGAGGCTTCAAAGGTGTATTTCCTGGCAGTCAGGCTCTTTTTCCATCCAAAACTAAAGATCCCCCTGTATTCCTTCATACGGTTAATTGAAGACTGAGTACAAACAGTGGTGGCAAAGTCCATAGGGACTTGGCTTGGGAACCAGAAGGTCACCGGTTCAAGTCCCCGAAAGACCAAGGGTGTTTCTCAATGTAGAGTACGCTTGCTTGGTAGCACATGTCTTCCGAGCGTCTTGCTTCAGAAGCGAGGCAAGAATACTTCCTGGCATTCAGAAAAAGAAGAGTGGAACAGGCGAGCAAGTGTGCAGGTGTGCGTCATATGAGAGGCCCCGCCTTACATTTTCCGCCACAGATTTGGGGAAATTGGTCCGTGCGCAAAGCATTGTGGGGATTTTAAGGCCGCGGAGTCTACACATGTGCAGCCTCGACATTTCTCGCTACGAAGTACGCCGGGCTCGGTAGAATTCCAAGTATGCTGGACATTGGAACAGTCCTTCGGCGGCACTCGATGACGTAGTATGCTTGAAATAGTGGCTCTGGAGCAGCTTTACTCGACATTGAGAAACATCCCAAGTGTTACGAGGTATCCCTGAGCAAGGCACCGTTCCCTACACTGCTCCCCGGGCACCGTACATAATAATGGCAGCCCACTGCTCCTAACACTAGAATGGGTCAAGTGCAGAGGAACCGTTTCGTTACATAGTACCTGTACTATGTAATGACAATAAAAGTATAAAAAAAATCATTTTCTTAATCATGCAAAGTAGATTTTCAGGTTTCATACATATGTGGTTCCTTTTTTAATTTAGCTGCAAGTATGAAATGCCTAATGAATGTGCACACAAATAAGATGTAACAAGTGTGATATGAGGCCTGACTGATTGCCTGCCAGCATCACGGCGAGACACTAATTAATTGTTTCAGCTGGGTTTATGAAAATGTGTAAATCCTCCCTTTCATGGTCTTTTTGTTTGGTAGCCCCTCTCACCCAATCCTCATATGTCACAAACAACCTGTTGTATAATGGGAGAGGATCAGACATGGCTCTACTCGTTGGAACTTGGTTTTAATAGGCCATTAGTGTGTCACATGTCAGTTAGCTTACAAGCTACACATTCTGATGTACATCTACTATATGAAGCCCAATTTGATGCCTAGCCCTTGCATTAAAGGAGAAGTGAGCCATCTGTGTGACTTGGAAACATGGCCGACCAAGGAATCAAACTGTTCGCCTCGACAAAAAGAAGTGGGCTTTCCTAGATTCTGCCCAAAGACAATTATTGAGGCGTAAATGCAACCTCCAGAAGTTAAAGGCTAAAAACAAACTGCACCATGGTCACATGACGCTAAACTGAAGGCTAATGATCGGGGGGGGGGGGGGAAGTGTGTGCGGCTGACAAGTGTTCTACATGATAGCTTGTCTTTTGTATCTTGTCGCTGATTGATTTTAAGCATTACTTGTGAAATTAGACTTTAAATCAACATCTTGTTATGAATAGTGGCAGACAAGAGACAGATAAAAAAAGGCTTCTCGTGAAGCAATATGAGAAATGACACTTTAAATGGACAAAATTAATCTAACCGTAGGATATATGTTTAAAACACTGCACTTTAAAAGTTATAATTGATGAGGCAAAAGCCTGCATAAGGATATATGTGTTACCATGGTTTTCAAATGATTTGCATAAATATACATATCTTACACAGATGGCTTAAGATCTCATCCACCATCCACCTGGATCTATCTTCATTTTGTTTTTATTTATATATACACACTATCCTTTCAAAAATGTGGACTACCTATGTTGTAAATGTATTGTCTTTTTAATTTACACACATCTATTTCACATTTGTCCGTCCTGGGAGAGGGATTCTCCTCTGTTGCTCTCCCCGAGGTTTCTTCCATTTTCCTCCATTAACTGGGGGGTTTTCTTTGGAAGTTTTTCGTTGTCCGATACGAGGGTCTTAAGACAGAGGGTGTCTTTTTTTTAAACTGTAAAGCCCCCTGAGACAAATCATTTGTGATATTGGGCTTTATAAATCAAATTAGATTGATTAATTGATCGTCCAAAAAACAGTGGATGGATTTAAAAGTTGATTAGTTTGTGAATCCCAGGTCAGAGGCCTCATTTATAAAGCTTTGCGTAGGATTCACGTGGGAAGGTGGCTTACGTAGGACAAAGCAAATAGATACGCACACAAATATTTCGATTTATAAAACACTGCGTACCGGCATAGGAAGTGCATACGGCACGTCCTCCGCCGGTTTCCCTTTATAAATCACAATCAACTCGAAATGCGGCGCAGCTTTTGCGGGTTCCACGTAACGCCCATATTTGCCTATAAATAGTCAAAGAAACGCCCCGTATTAATATTCATTTTGACTGACTGCATGAAGAAGATCGCAGGAAATGACGACAGAACAGCTAAAAAAGATATCGCACAGTGTTTCTCAATGTCAAGGAAGGATGCTCCAGAGCCACTATTTCAAGGATGCTACGTCATCGAGTCCCGCCGAAGGAATGTTCCAATGTCCAGGCTCCATGGAATTTCACCGAGCCCGGCATCCTTCGTAATATCACAAATGATTTGTCTCAGGGGGCTTTACAGTTTAAAAAAAAGACACCCTCTGTCTTAAGACCCTCGTATCGGACAACGAAAAACTTCCAAAGAAAACCCCCCAGTTAATGGAGGAAAATGGAAGAAACCTCGGGGAGAGCAACAGAGGAGAATCCCTCTCCCAGGACGGACAAATGTGAAATAGATGTGTGTAAATTAAAAAGACAATACATTTACAACATAGGTAGTCCACATTTTTGAAAGGATAGTGTGTATATATAAATAAAAACAAAATGAAGATAGATCCAGGTGGATGAGATCTTAAGCCATCTGTGTAAGATATGTATATTTATGCAAATCATTTGAAAACCATGGTAACACATATATCCTTATGCAGGCTTTTGCCTCATCAATTATAACTTTTAAAGTGCAGTGTTTTAAACATATATCCTACGGTTAGATTAATTTTGTCCATTTAAAGTGTCATTTCTCATATTGCTTCACGAGAAGCCTTTTTTTATCTGTCTCTTGTCTGCCACTATTCATAACAAGATGTTGATTTAAAGTCTAATTTCACAAGTAATGCTTAAAATCAATCAGCGACAAGATACAAAAGACTGCTACAAGCTATCATGTAGAACACTTGTCAGCCGCACACACTTCCCCCCCCCCCGATCATTAGCCTTCAGGTTAGCGTCATGTGACCATGGTGCAGTTTGTTTTTAGCCTTTAACTTCTGGAGGTTGCATTTACGCCTCAATAATTGTCTTTGGGCAGAATCTAGGAAAGCCCACTTCTTTTTGTCGAGGCGAACAGTTTGATTCCTTGGTCGGCCATGTTTCCAAGTCACACAGATGGCTCACTTCTCCTTTAATGCAAGGGCTAGGCATCAAATTGGGCTTCATATAGTAGATATAAGTAAGCTAACTGACATGTGACACACTAATGGCCTATTAAAACCAAGTTCCAACGAGTAGAGCCATGTCTGATCCTCTCCCATTATACAACAGGTTGTTTGTGACATATGAGGATTGGGTGAGAGGGGCTACCAAACAAAAAGACCATGAAAGGGAGGATAAAATGTTTTGATAATTTTCCGATCAAGCTACTGAGACCTGCCTGTCTGCCTGGCACATCAACTCTCACACACACACACACACACACACACACACACACACACACACACACACACACACACACACACACACACACACACACACACACACACACACACACACACACACACACACACACACACACACACACACACACACACATCTACTGTTAGTCCAAAAACGCCCTTTGCTGGCGGCATATTCATTACAAAAGACACCTATACACTCGCTAACCCTAACCCTAACCCTAATGTTTATTTGTAGATATCTCCTAAAGCCTACAAATAAAGTGTGACATGTAGGCCTGTTACATTTGTTATTGAGCGATATATATTATACACACTGTTCTGCTTTCTGCACTGACCTCAGCAGCTGTTCTCACTGAAACATCACCTAACATCCAGGGGACATGTGATTAGTGAGTAAACAAACGGTAAAGGGCAGAAAGTCTGATGCACATTTGATCATCTCAAATAACTTATAATCACAACAGGAACAGTTTGCAGAGCTGTGCTTCGTTGACAGAAGTCCAGACATGCGTCACGCCTCTTTTAAACATCACTGTTGGCTGAAATCGTCTCAGGAGAATACTTCAGTGTACCCTCGGTTATAGCTCCTCTAGAGACACTCCTCTCTCCTCTAAATCAGTGTATCCTCGGTAACGGCTCCTCCAGACAGCCTCCTCGATAATCGATCCTCGACGAGCCTTTAGAGAAATTTATTTTCCTTCCAGACGGCGCGCCGACATCCGTTTCCGGGTCGCTGCCGGAGGACCTGGGATTCTGGGACACGAAAATTATAGAAATGAGAAACGGCTCATTTCCCAGGATTCGCGCGCGTCTGCTTGACGCCGTGACGACCGGCTGCCCTCCCCGACAGGCGCACGGACGCGAGGGCCCGCTCATCACTGCGCGCACAAGTGCGACCGCAGTTTTAATATTATTATTGTAAATGACCTTTTAATATGTCCAACTATATTTAAAATGAGTTAACTTTTAGAGAAGTGATTATATTTGTATGCCAATATTTTCCTATGGTAAAGTTTTCGTTTTGCACTTACTATTTTGATAGTAATAAGATCGGGTTGAATCAGTTTACCGATAAAGATTAAGCCCTAGAAAGCACATGGCTACTTAGCATGCAAAATGAAGTCATTCTGCATGTTAAGTAGCCATGTGCTTTCCTGTTATGGCTGAATCTTTATTTGTTGATTAGATCACGTTACTCTGATGATAGTGTTCAACACAGCCTATGTCTGAACTCGATCCTTAGAGTAATGTGTTATGGAGCCTTCTCTTTAATCTTGTTTCCACATAACATAACAAGCATTTTGCGCTGCTCTTTTCCAATGTGGAAGCAGAATGTGTGAAAGCATACAGCACGATGCGGGGTGTGTCCTAGACATGTTTAGACTGGAACAGCGGGGGCCAGTACGTCAACTCGTCTCACAGGTGCACAAGTCAGGATAGAGGACATCAGACTCCAGAGAAAACTTGCTCGAGTCCGAGTCGGAGCGTCAATGTACAATTCGAGTCCGAGTCATCGTGGGGGGGGAAAATTCACGAGTCCGAGTCCAAGTCATCGCGCGAGAATTCACGAGTCCAAGTCCGAGTTGCGTCAATCAGTGCGCGAGTCCGAGTCGAGTCACGAGTCCCAAAAATCGGCAGGACTTGAGTACTCCATCTCTGAAGGCCCACACAAACTGCAGAACACTGGTGCTTTGGGAACACTCAAATGATTTAATTCCCATTTAGAATCAGGAGACTAAATACGAACAGTGTGTGTGTGTGTGTGTGTGTGTGTGTGTGTGTGTGTGTGTGTGTGTGTGTGTGTGTGTGTGTGTGTGTGTGTGTGTGTGTGTGTGTGTGTGTGTGTGTGTGTGTGTGTGTGTGTGTGTGTGTGTGTGTGTGTGTGTGTGTGTGTGTGTGTGATACTTGCCAACCCTCCCGATTTTCACGGGAGACTCCCGATTTCACTGCCCTCTCCCGGTTTCCTCCCGGGGTCATATTTCTCCCGCATTTCTCCCGATTTCTGACAAAATCAGATTTACTCACGACTGTTTCCACTCGGACTTTAATACAGCTACCCCATTGTTTGGTTTCCATGGTAGCACGTCTCTTTAGTAGCGCGCGTAACTCAAAGTCTGAGAGGGTGAGGAGTCACAGAAAACTGAACAAGAATCGACAACTCGACCCTCTGCTCATTCCTTTCCTGTAAAATACAGGTCCAGCCCACACATGCTCCATGGTGCTACAGGCATTGCCCTTACAACTACAATAAGCATGTAAATGTTAATCTACAGCTCCGGCGACCCACTAGCACCGGAGTCTCCACCTGCAGACGCAGCCATCCTCATCAACTATACTGTAGTACTGATACGAGTCCAAACAACTCACAGACTGCATCGGGCGCTGAAATTGCCACCCTTTGAGCATCAGATCTGACGACGCTGATTGGCTGAAATTATGTTTCGGCGGCATAGTATACAGATAGCAACAGTCAGCATGTGTTGGCTGCTGCTGATCTGGCTGAGGGCTCCTTTCTACCGCCCGGACGAGAGAGGGTAATGATACACGCTGCAGCCAGGCAGGAAACATGTGACTTATCAGTAACTTTAGACATCGTACACAATTTTAAATGAGATGTTATTGTAGATAATACATTTTACTGATACCAACTATATCATATTTACCTTGTTCATTAAAAAAAAAAAAAAATCTTTTAAATGTATTTATTTGACAATCAAACATGTGCGAAGAGGGGGGGCGGCGCCCCTAGCGTCCCTATGGGCCATCCGCCACTGCTGAGGAGTCTCAAACAGGCGTTTGTTTAATAATTTTAAGATTGGCTTCAATCAAGTTTTGCGAATTAATTCTTCATATATGATAAATGAGAGGTAACATTTTATTTATGGTATTATTTCCACATATTTCTCTCCATTCTTCCTTCTGCCAACGGTGTCGCAGTTTCTTGTCTCTCCCGTTTTTGTGCGTACCGCATACGCATGGGTTAGAGTTTGCGTGGAGGACCGCACATTTTCCCGTCAAGTTTGTTTTTTATAAATCGCAAAGATTGCTTAGAAACTGGCGTACGCCATCTTTTGAGTGTACGCTCCGTTTATAAATGAGGCCCCTGGTGTCAGTAATCCTGTGGTTGATCTGTTTTCCTTCAGAACACAAACAGCAGAGTCTGAGAGGGGACAGAAATTCTGCTTTCATTCTGTCTCTGGTCCCTACCAGTCAAACACTCCATGGTTCACTGTAACCAGACCTCTCAGTTAGGGAGTGAAAGGACCATTAGATCATCTTCATCTACCACATCAGTGCTCTACACGCATACGTTTGAGTAGAACATATTTCCTGTTTCATATCAGTGAGCTTTGAACACTTATCTCTTTCTGTCGACTATGAAAAGTTATGAGCTGACAGTTATATGAAAGCAGTCTTCAGAGTTACATAAGGACTTTGTGAAATTCTCCCTCCTCTTCCTCACTGTCATTACACCTCCCTGATGATGCAGTGAGGAGCCTCCACATTTGAATATCTCTTAAACACTTCCTCGGATACTCTTCTTATCTGGGTTACTGAAATCTTGCTCATGAATTACCTTCAAACTTTTTCTTTTTTCCTCAGCCTACAAGCCCCAAGTTTGGAAAGGCAGACTCCTATGAGAAGCTGGAGAAACTGGGAGAGGGATCCTATGCTACAGTTTACAAAGGAAAGAGCAAGTAAGTAGAGTGGGGTCACGCCTGATCCCCTCCCTCTTCTTTATTAGAGCCCCTCATATTACATTGAATTATACAGGAGCAGCACTGTGACTGAATGAGTTCATTACATGGAGCAATAACAGTTACAGTGGAGTTTTACATCAATACTGTGTCTTCTTAGTCTGTTTGCCATCTCATAGTCCTATCGTGAACCTGGAAATGTTGAGTACCCCAAAGTGTCATGTTAGAAATGTATAGTAGGGTCCCTAGCACATAGAAACTGCTGGATGCTAACTTGCATATGTTTGGCAATTTGCACAATTAGCATAAGTTGTGTTTTATAGCATGAGTTACCATTATGGCCTATGAAGACAATAGTTTAAAAATGGCTTGGCTGATTTCGAAATGTTTTGAATGGTTTTGGGGAACTAATAGAGGGTGGGTCAATTTCTGAAATGTTTCAGGATCAATAATAGCAGATTTAACCAGAAAATGCCAACATTTGTACTCTCTGTTGGCTGAATTATTTTTTAAGATTTGGTCGATTTGGAAGATTTAGGGGACTGCATCATTTGGATTGGACAGATTGCTTATTTGAAAAATAATTGTCCACAGATAATAATGTCCATCTTGTGCTCTCTATATCCAATGGCCGCAACACAATCAGCCCACAGAGAGAACAAATATGGCCCCTTTCTGGTTAAAACTGCCATGTTTGATCCTTAGATTGTCAGAAATGGATTCAGTATCCAAATCGGCCAAGTAAACATATGCAGGTTAACATCCTGCAGTTTCTATGTGCTGGGGACCCTACTATACATTTCTATAATAAAACTTTGGGGTACTCAACATGTCCGGGTTCACTATGCTGGCAACTATTGCATGGAACAGCAGTAACAGTTACAGTGTGGTTTTATATCAATAATGTGTCTCCTCTGTAGAGCTGCTACAGGATTGATGCTTCTGTCCATTGATTCAGTTGTAATGTTCCACCTTTTACGCTTTGTGCTCTCTTCCACATTTCTCTAATTAAATTCTAGTGTAAATGTATGAAGCTCCACAGACTGTAATCTTCTAAGTAATGATGTTATTCAGCATGGCTCTTCAATACAACACTTCTGATTGCAGTTGTAATCCTGCAGCCTCACTCCACTGCTGCTAAATTACATTTCATTGATCTTTGCTGTTCTCCGGCTTCACAGATTTTAATAGATTCTTTTTTTCATGTCACAAGAAAACTCAGGATTTACATATTGTTTCCATGTTTCAGGGTGAATGGGAAGCTGGTGGCTCTGAAGGTGATCCGTCTGCAGGAGGAGGAGGGGACGCCCTTCACCGCCATACGAGAGGGTGAGGGGATGGGCGGTGACTCACTGACTGACTGTGGGAATGTATTGAACACTATATTGAGAAAAGGGCTATGGACTAGTAGGTGGAATATCTCCTGAAAATAACAGTCAGTAATCCTATTACTTTTCAATATGTGTCAAAAGCAGCCATCTCCATAATTACACAATCAGAGTTTTGTTTTAAAATTAAAACAATATATAATTTAACGTTAAAAAATGTAATACAAATATTTACATAGAAGTAAAATGTTAGAAGGAGTGTGCAATAAAAAGACTCAAGAAGATTTTGTAATGTAATAAGTAAATTGTCCAATATAAGATTATATATTGCAAATATTGATATCACCAGTAAAACATTTGTATAACATTTTTATATATATATCATTACAATAATTATGTTTTGTTTATGTTATAATGCATTTTATAATGCACTTTGAGTGTTCAGTATTTAACGGATGATCTAAAATCAAGGTAATTTACAACATTTCCAATTTTGTCCATTACTTAACTCTAATAGTGATTATTTTAGAGTGTAAAAAGAAACCTGCCAAATCCAGGAATAGTGTCTACCTATTTCCAGTAGAACAACACTTGTTTCTTGTATTGTCCAGAATTACTGCAATCTTTCTGAACTCAGAATATAGCCAATTTCATATTTCACTTGTTAAAGACTCACTAGGCGACAAAAATAACTTGATTACATGGATGTTTTTACAACAAAAATAGATATTTAACTACAATTGTTGGTTTCAAAAGTACTACATGTCTGTCAGCAGCACAGAGTGTGTGTGCAGCACTTGATGCTATCAGTGTACCGCCTGAACTGTCAGAAGAAACACTCACCTCTACACACAGACTGCCATTAGGATTGAAATGAGAATATTACATTACATTACATTGCATTTAGCTGACGCTTTTATCCAAAGCGACTTACAATAAGTACATTCGACCAGGAAGACACAACCTTGAAGAAAACAGAATCATATAAGTACATCAGGTTTCATAGAGCCAAACATTTCAAGTGCTACTCAACTGGCTTTAGGTAAGCCAGTCCTTTATTAGTATAAAAGTGCTTCGTTAATAGTTCTAACGCTCGAAGTGGAGTCGAAAGAGATGAGTTTTCAGTTTGCGCCGGAAGATGTGCAAGCTATCTGCCGTCCTGATGTCAATGGGGAGCTCATTCCACCATCTTGGAGCCAGGACAGCAAACCCACGTGTTTTCGCCGATGGGAACTTGGGTCCCCCTCGCAGCGAGGGCGCAACGAGTCGTTTGGCTGATGCAGAGCGTAGTGCACGCGCTGGGGTGTATGGTTTAACCATGTCCTGGATGTAGGAAGGGCCAGATCCATTCGCAGCATGGTAAGCAAGTACCAGTGTCTTGAAGTGGATTCTAGCAGTTACCGGAAGCCAGTGAAGGGAGCGGAGGAGCGGAGTGGTGTGGGAGAATTTAGGAAGGTTGAAGACCAGACGAGCCGCTGCATTCTGGATGAGCTGCAGAGGTCGGATGGCACATGCAGGTAGACCAGCCAGGAGGGAGTTGCAGTAGTCTAGGCGTGAGATGACGAGAGCCTGGACCAGAACCTGAGTCGCTTTCTGAGTCAGCTGGGGACGTATCTTCCTGATGTTGTAAAGCGTGTATCTGCAGCAACGGGTTGTAGCAGCGATGTTTACAGTGAAGGACAGGTTGTTATCTAGGGTCACACCCAGATTCCTTGCAGTCTGAGTCGGGGAAACAACTGAGGTGCCGATGTTGATTGTTAGGTCAAGAGTGGGACAATCTTTTCCCGGAAGGAAGAGCAGCTCAGTCTTGTCAAGGTTGAGCTTGAGGTGGTGAGCAGACATCCACTGAGAGATGTCAGCTAGACAAGCAGAGATGCGTGCAACGACCTGGGTCTCTGAGCGGGGAAAGGACAGAATTAATTGGGTGTCATCAGCGTAGCAGTGGTAAGAAAAACCATGCGGGCTAATGACTGATCCGAGCGAGTTTGTGTACACGGAGAAGAGGAGGGGACCAAGAACAGAGCCCTGAGGGACCCCCGTAGTTAATTGACAAGGGTCGGACTCAGACCCTCTCCAAGTCACCCTGTAGGTACGGTCTTTCAGGTATGAGGCGAGGAGGGAAAGTGCAGAGCCTGAAACTCCAAGTTTTTGGAGAGTGCGAAGGAGGATCTGATGATTCACCGTGTCGAATGCGGCAGACAGGTCCAATAGGATGATGACAGAGGAGAGGGATGCAGTTTTGGCAGTGTGCAGTTCCTCCGTGACAGCAATGAGAGCAGTTTCTGTGGAGTGACCTGCCTTGAAACCAGACTGGTGCGGATCCAGAAGGTTGTTCTGATGGAGATAACAGGAGAGTTGTTTAAAGACAGCGCGTTCAAGTGATTTAGACAGGAACGGGAGGAGAGAGACAGGCCTGTAGTTTATAACATCAGACGGGTTGAGAGTGGGTTTCTTTAGGAGAGGGTTTACTCTTGCCTCCTTGAAACTGTTTGGAAAGGGACCAGAAGTTAGAGAAGTGTTGATGAAATGGGTGAGAAACGGTAGAATATCAGGAGCGATAGTCTGAAGGAGGTTTGAAGGGATAGGGTCCAGAGGACAGGTGGTAGGGCGGGCAGAGGTAATGAGGGTAAGAACCTCACTTGGAGAGAGAGGGGAAAAGGAGGTAAGTGTGTTGGTGGAAGGAGGGTCTGGTGACCCAGCGGTGAGTAAAGGTGAGTCAGAAAAAGAAGAGCGAATATCATCAACCTTTTTTTCAAAGTGGGTAACAAAGTCGCTTGACAGAAGTGAGGAGGGGGAGGAGGAGCTTTTGGAGGGTCCAAGAGGGTGGAGAAGATGGAAAATAGTTTTTTAGGATTGGAATAGGAAGATTGGATCTTATCTTGAAAGAAAGTGCTTTTTGCCTGAGAGATCGAAGCAGAGAAAGAGGAGAGGAGAGCTTGATAGGTTAGGAGGTCGTCACGGTGTTTGGATTTCCACAATTTCTGCTCTGCTGCCCTAAGGACGGTTCTATTAGCATGCAGTGCATCATTTAGCCAGGGAGCAGGAGGGGACTGACGAGCCTGCCGAGATGTGAGAGGACAGAGCGAGTCCAGAGTGGATGAGAGAGTAGAGAGGAGAGTTTCTGCAGCAGAGTTTGGAGGCAGGAGATGGAACGAATCAGAGGAAGGGAGGGCTGAGAGCACCGACGAGGCAAAGGTAGAGGGGGGAGAGGGAGCGAAGGTTACGGCGGACAAGTGCAGGATGGGAAGAGATTAGTTTGTTATGTTTGGAAAGGGATAGAGAGAATGAAATGAAGAAGTGATCGGATGTGTGGAGCGGGTTTACAGAGAGGTTAGAAGTAGAGCAGTTCCTTGAGAATATGAGATCAAGGACATTGCCAGCTTTATGAGTCGGTGGGGGACGGAGACAGTGAGAAAGCAAAGGCGGTTAACAGAGATGTTAGTTCGTCTATCTTCCCCGTCTGGAGGTTGAAGTCTCCGAGAAGTACAGCGGGAGGGCCAGTTTCAGGGATGAGTGAGAGGAGATTATCTAATTCCTCCAAGAAGTCCCCCAAGGCGCCTGGTGGACGGTAGAGAACAACAATGGTTAACTGTATAGGATGGGTTACTGTGACGGCATGGAATTCAAAGGTGGAAGGAGTGAAGTTAGGTAGCTTGAAGAGGGAAAAGCTCCATTTGGGAGATAGCAGGAGACCAGTGCCACCTCCTCTGCCAGTGGGTCTGGGTGTATGGGAGAAGGAATATGCAGTGGAGAGAGCTGCTGGGGTGGATGTGTTGGATGGAGTAATCCAGGTCTCAGTGAGAGCAAGGAAATCCAGAGACTGCAGGGAGGCGTAGCCAGAGATGAAGTCAGCCTTAGGAACAGCTGACTGGCAATTCCACAGGCCACCAGAAACTAGATGTTGGATCTCAGTGGAGCACGTGGGATAGACGAGAGCAGGCCGGTTATATCGATTAGGAGATACACGGGGCCAGTGATAATTGCGAGAAGACACATGAACAGGAATGGAGAAAATACACATGATTATAGCATGAGGGGCTAGAAAACTAAAGAAAAGATAAATAAGACACCAGCTCAATCAGAGTAGGATTTGCCTCCTCTTTGCCACCCTCGTGACTCCCGCAGGACTCCAATGTCTTTGTCAGTCTTACTCCCGCAGGACTCCAATGTCTTTGTCAGTCTTCGGCTGTCTGACGCTGAAGCTGACGCTCCAGGAAAGAGCTACCCAAAAATGGACGCCTGATTGCTCAGTTCTCACAGCTGTAGGGCCACGGCCCTCTAATTAGTTAACTATCTACAGCTGATGGGCGACAATAGACTGGCCGTGCCTATATTAATGCAGGCTTGAGTGCTGAGACCTATAAAGCAGGTTTCGCCTGAGCAGATCTGAGATTTAAAATCTCTCAAACGCGATTTAGCCGTTAAAGCTACAATAACAATTTATACAGAGTCGAATAAATGAAACAGAGAAGTCTAATTAAACAAGAATATAACTTACAGTGGTTGCTGCGTCAATAGGTAATGTCGTCACCGGGTCCAGATGCACACAGATGACCTGATAGACACACACACACACACACACACACACACACACACACACACACACACACACACACACACACACACACAGTCCATACTCTCATTATGAGAGGATCAGAGAGCAGCTTTGAAATTGAACTAATTCAGCAATTACTGAGCAGGAAGCTTGGAGCGCTGAAATGTGAGCAGCATTACAGACTGCTGCTGCTGAATACACTCAGATTGGGTGCATATGTGGGGGGGGGGATCTTCAAACTGATGGCAGAATCTTTGAGGTATCTGTAGCACTAACCCCTGCTGATGTGATTTTAAAAGAACCTTTAGGTCCTGGTGCAGGATGAATGTATGCATGAGCCTCCATCCCTCCCGTGCCCTCGAATCAACCTTGTCTTTGATCCTTTAATCCCATTGGCAAATGGTCTACAAATCCCATTCTGCCTTTTATAAAAAGAGCACCATTATGCTGCTCTTTTATAAAAAGAGCACCATTATGCTGCTCTCATATTATGTCCTGTTTGTAGCCTTTATTTAACCAGGTGAAAGCCCCTTGAGATCAAAAGATCTCTTTTTCAAGGGTGATCTCATGAAACTTTCCCCTGTAAGGCCTTATTGTTGTCCGATGTCTTCGGTCAGTGGTCTGTTATTTTCCGTAATTGCCTCAACAAGCTTTTAGTGTATTGCTCGAGTCTAATTACACTTATTATCCTGACAAGTTCAAGTAAAGTAGCCTCAGAGTGGTAGGCTGTTTCTTACAAATAAATGGATGAGGGTGCAGTGGAAAAGTCCTTCAATGACTTTCCAACATTTTTACAGTCTTAGAATATCATTAAAGTTATATTATTTAAACCGCATTTGATTTCCCTCACATTTTTTCAGCAATAACCATTCAACTTATTTATGTTCTGTAATTACCTTTCAACAGTATATTATTCTTCCATATATTTCTAGAGTATTATCTGCAGAGCCCAACTTGTCAGTGCAGGACTGACATCACACACTCTCAGAAAACATGTACTGAACATGCAGTAAGTCGCATGCACACATTCTGGGTCAAATAGAGGAACATCTTCAGTATTGCATTTGTTTTCCTGGTTTAATTTCTGAGCAGCTGTGGAGTGTTTGCTGCCCCCAGTGGTTGATACATGTTCATTTCAAACCAAACGTATGCTCCAATTGTAAATAAAACACACTTTCCATTACAGCAAGCTATTACAAGGACTGTTTGTAAAGGAGTATGACTTCAGTGAACTTAAAGATAGTGAATTGTAATAAGAAGGGACTCCATTTTCAATAAAAGCCAGCCACCCTAATGTCGAGGACCACAGTTAACCCTTAGATGCATAAGTGGGTCTTTTTTGACCCGGTGAGGTGGTTTTCTTGAAGTGTCTTTGTAATTACATTTTTTTATCATTTCATATTCCAGCTATTCCTCAAAAAACATGTTTTGGATATCATGCCATTCAAATTTTAAATGTACATTTACATTTTTATTTTTTTTTTGTATTGCTAGCCCAAGCTTCCATAAGTGGGTTAGGGTTTGAAAAGGGACTGGAATACTATGAGGGTCTCAGAATAGCGCAGATCTTTGCATCGATATGTTCAAAACGGTTTTTTTCACAATGTAAAAAAAAATGAGTGAAAAATAAAATATAAAATATTTCTAGTGTGAACCAAAATATAATACTAAATATTATTATAAGTAATTTTTCTTAACCAAAAATGGCATAAAAACACATATTATTCTAATACGGGTCCTTTTTGACCCACGTATGGAAGAGTGTAGGGTCACTCGGCATCTGAGGGTTAATAACAGCTTAGCTCATCTCGAGTCCTTTATGAAGAGGTCAAACTCGTCACATTGATATATTAAGCTTTACTATCAGCCAACCTCAGCTCAGCCTCTCACTGTTCTCTTGGTTCGGTGTTCAACATTTAAGATTGGTTCCTTGATGGCGAACAAACTAAATAATACAGTTCCGTCCACACAGTAAATCAACAACTGCTGACCATTCACATACACTGTCTGAAAGCTGACCATTCACATACACTGTCTGAAAGCTGACCATTCACATACACTGTCTGAAAGCTGACCATTCACATACACTGTCTGAAAGCTGACCATTCACATACACTGTCTGAAAGCTGACCATTCACATACACTGTCTGAAAGCTGACCATTCACATACACTGTCTGAAAGCTGACCATTAACATACACTGTCTGAACGTTGACCATTAACATGTACACTGTCTGAAAGCTGACCATTAACATACACTGTCTGAAAGCTGACCATTCACATACACTGTCTGAAAGCTGACCATTCACATACACTGTCTGAAAGATGACCATTCACATACACTGTCTGAAAGCTGACCATTAACATACACTGTCTGAAAGCTGACCATTCACATACACTGTCTGAAAGCTGACCATTCACATACACTGTCTGAAAGATGACCATTCACATACACTGTCTGAAAGCTGACCATTCACATACACTGTCTGAAAGCTGACCATTCACATACACTGTCTGAAAGCTGACCATTCACATACACTGTCTGAAAGCTGACCATTCAAATAGAGCAGCATGTCTTCACTATCTATAAAGAACACACCTACATTGCATTATGAGACCAGTTATAGTGAATGAATGCATTCGTGCTTCATGACACAAAAACATAATTATTTGGCATTTAAAAGTGCTGCATTATCATGATCAACAATGCTTTACACTTTATTTACCGTCAACAATGAAACATTATGATTGCCTTGCTTTGTATTTAACACAACTTGTGATGCATCATGGAGTAATAGCGTATTATGAATCACTCACTGTTGAGGTGTGTATGGATTAGTATTGGTCATCATAAAATATGATATTAAAACTTCTGCTTTCCAAACGGCATCCATATGACACTTTGAATTATAAATATGTTGTTGTATTATTTGCACAGACTGTACTCCAGGTTTAACTCTGAAGTGACTCACATGTGAAAGTCTTAGCGAGTCCGATCACACCGTAAGACTCAGTGAGCTTTAAAGTCTTCCCCCCCCCACACCATCTCACTGCTCTACTTATTAACAATGTCCATTGCATCATAAAAGTGTTGACAAATGAGTGTGAGAACTCACAGCCATAATCCATTCTGTGATTCCTTTCTCAGTTTCAATCTTTCTTAATCCCCTGTTTGTGCGCAGCGAGGCTTAGGGGGGGCCGTGTAACATTCTAATGATGCAGCTAATGAAGGCGTGGATCACACACTCCTCTGCTCACACACACACACTCCTCTGTCTCACACACACTCTGTCTGTTGTTCTCTGCAGCATCCCTCCTGAAAGGCCTGAAGCACTCCAACATCGTGCTCCTGCATGACATCATCCACACCAAGGAGACCCTGACGCTGGTCTTTGAATATGTGGTGAGTGGTCCACTGATACCTTGTTCAACACGCAGGGGTCAGAGGTCACGCTCATGTGTGTCTCTTTAGCTTGACTCTATTCACCTCAGTGTCTGCTTCCAGTGTTGTATAATCTGCCCACAGAAAGATGAGCTCTGGATATTTTGATTTCCATACTTTTGTTGATTAGGCACTTGAAGAGTGTTAAAGCGGTCTGAGCTGTTTTCCACAGCAGCCAGACACAGCAGAGCAGAGTATGCCAGGCCTGAAGGAAGTCAGCGGGCTTTGAAACACATTTTCAAAGTGGCCAAATGGTGGAAATACAACTTATATGTCAAGCATGTGATGCCATTTGCCCAAAAATACTTTTCCGATTGACATTGAGATAATATGTCTTTAAATCAGCACATGTTATGTCACTATGTTCCGGAAATAAACAAAGGAGTCCAATGGAGGCGTTTCAGGCAGGGGGGGGTGTGTGAGAGAGAAAGTCCCTCTGGAGGAACACAGGGACTTCAGCCTTTGCAGACCATTTACATGCACTAAAACCATTAGAACACACTGCAGGAGAGGGGAAACCCAAACAAGCAGAATAGGGACTCTTTAAGGTAAATCAACTTCAAAATTCCTTTTTGAAATAATGAAATGCTTAAAGTTGTAAAGAGTAAAGATCCTTTATATTCATTTGATTGGATGATCCTGTGGATGCACGATCTCTCCGGTAGATCTGGTGCTTTGCTCCAGACAGGACAGACAGTTTGATTTCAAGCGCCACCAAACAACTGAAATAGGAATGAGCGGCCCCCGCCTCCAACGCAGTAGCCAGTTCTCTTTAAACATCCATGCTCTGTCTTATTTCAGGAAGCCAGGCAGCCATTTGATTGGAAGGCCACAGTTTCAATATGTTGAAGGAAAGTCTATTGGCCTACAGGAAGGCTTCCTACTGCAGTTTACCATCTGAAGTCAACCAGCCGCAGAGATCAGGCTGCAGGGTCTGGAGCTACCCAGGATATCTTTAGAACTTCAGGGTAGTAACGGAGTGACTGTCAGATATTTTAAGCACAATACAGTTGTGATCGTTGGTTAAGTTGATTCACTTCCCTTTAAGTAGGTCACCTGTCAGTGTTCTGTGCTGATCTATGATTATGGCCTACATTAGATGATCTGTATAACACACACATTTCATATATGTTGTTGGAGAGTTGTTTCAGTAACATTTAAATTATAATAACCATCAGTTATAAATTGTAGATTTTGACTGTTTGCAAATTAAAATGAATACCGTTTGCTAATTAAAGTCATGCTATAATGTATGCTATATTATCACTAGTTTTTGTAACATGAAATGAGTTTAAAAATGATATATTTTATCATAGCTCAGTTTAATGTTGCATACCTTTTTAAATATATAGTATACATTTTTGTGAATAACGTAATGATTTGTGAAGCGTTAGGAAATGATTGTAAGGCGGCTGAACACATTGTAGAGCCCTCTAAGGTCATATGTTTTATATCAGGCTATATCAATGAAATGAGTGACTGATTGTTCATTATCAGGTTTCATGTACTCCAAATATCTGTTTATTGATATACATGTTGTCGGGCAGAAATCATCTTGGTCGCTGCTTCCCTTGTTATCTATAGTCTGTGATAATAACACAGGAAACTAGTCCACAGCAAAACCTTTTTTTTAATAAAATACCCTTTAAAGTGAGGGTTTTGTGAAACTTCCTATGAACTTCTATTTTCTCTCATGAGATGAAGAGATCAATCAATCCTGTCCTCATCTCTTCAAGTCAAACCAAACAAAGTCAACTGTTGCTCAGGTCCAGGGGCAGAAAAGAGTCATTATAATATATTCAATATTCAAACCTCAGCTCAGCTTCCTCGTGGTAAACTTTGTGTTGCAAGCAAAGTAATAACAATCTTTTCTTTTGGACAGAAGTGTGAGTGTGGAGCTCCTCCACATGCACCCACTCACAGCCACATTGATATTCAGCTCCATGTTTGATCCTGAAACGCTGAGCGGGCTAAACCTCTCCCCAGAAGCAGCTTCCTCAGCTTCATTTAATTTCATTTAATGAGACTGAAAACTGTGTTTAAGTACATGTAACGCATGTCAGAGGCTCGGCTTCTGAAGGAGAGTCAGTGAGACGTGACCTGAGGACATGTCCTCTCTGATTATTCATATTACCGACTGAGTCCGTTTTCCAATTGAGATGCAACACAACCATTCTAATACGAGGAACTCCGTGCTTTCTGCCTGGTGGGAAATGATTATGAATGTGACTTAACCCTTGTGTTGTGTTGCTATCAACTGTGCAACTTCTGTCCTCTAGGTTTGACTTTTATAAAGCATAGTATAAATAATCACTCAAATCTGTGTTACACCTTTCAAGCCCACGTTATCCCGCCTTATTACCAGTGTATGGTCAATAGACCTAATTTACACCAAATCAAACGTCATTTCTGGGTTAAAAAAGGCACACATGTTGGCTGATCTTACAGAATCACGCCCAGAAGACCACAAATGATATAAAACCCAAAACAAAAATGATTATGATTATGAATGTATATAATCACATCTTTGTACCTTTATCCCGACATAAAAAAACGGAAACTGGTCAAATCTGACCCGAGGACAGCAGGAAGGTTAAATGTTGTAGTGCAAGCTGTTCTGTCCCATGTTGATCCATCATCTTGTGTGGAGCTGAAATCACTGTGTGCTGTTTTCCATTCAGACGTCTTCCCAGCCTCAAACCTCAGTTGTTGTTCTCCTCTCAACGGCAATGATGATTGACAGGGTGAGCCTGAAATACATAGGGAGAGGAGACGGGGGATTGTGAGGGAAACGAGGAAATGCATTACTGAGAGAAGCAGGGGAAGTGAGACAGACAGACGTGTCCATGCGGGAGCGTCCGTCTGAATTATTCAGCAGAGGAGGCTCCGCTGGTGCCGGATTGTAAATATCAGTTTGATTTCCCTCCACCCTCAATCTGCTAACAAAACACAGAGGCCAGGCGGGGGGGTTAGCTCAAACAAATCACCTCACGTCTCAGATGGAAAGCACCACTAGAAAATACCACATTCTCAGAAGGAAATATTCCCGAATGGACGAAACAGACCAAAATATACTGTGTTTTTGTTTTCTTAATCTGCCTCATATTTAATCAAAATGATATGAATCCAAAATGACATTCTCAATCGTAATGCTTATCCATAACAAGCTAGAGCACTTTCTCTTGTTGCTGTTTTAACATTGTGCTCTTTCTCTTTGACTCTGCAGCACACAGACCTGTGTCAGTACATGGACAGACACCCTGGGGGGCTCCACCCGGACAATGTGAAGGTACAGCACGAGTTATTACGTTGTTCACAAGAAATGGAGTTAAACCAGAGCATTTATTGAAATGCTCAAAAGGTGCAGATGAAAAGAGGGGAGATGTTGCCACCGGGAACACAACATGAGAGCAAATGGAGGATTCATGTCTAGAGTGGGTGGGCAGCGATTATATTTACAGTGCAGGGTGCAGGCAGGGTTTGGTGCCTTGCTCAAGGGCTACTCAACAGGACTTGAACAGGCGACCATCCGGTTCCAAGCCATGTCCCTACAGACAACCACCCACACAAGCATGCAGTACTGTAACCCTCACTACTCATCAATACTCAACTTGTGTACTTAATATGACAAATATCGTATTGTCATTTCAGCTGTTCAGTGTGTTCAGACTTGTAAGGCTCTATTCTCATTGGCTATCAGCAGGGTCAGTGGTCATTGGAGGAGATCAAATCAAAGTGCTTTGATAATATGAGCATTTGGGCTAAATGTAAAAGCAAGCAAGACATAACATAGTGTTGGTAGTATTATAGATATCAGTATGATAAGAATCCATTGGGAGCTAGCAGGCTAACAGCACTAGCATCCTACACACATCCTACGTACACTGTTATGAACAAAACGTTTTTCTAAGAGAGGTCCATTCCGGCCCCTCTCTCAAACAGTCCTATCCACATAGGACGGCTGGTTCCCACATATACAGTATTAGGGTGGTGTCCTCAGTTGTTATACATAAGTAAAAGTAATAGTACCACAGCGTAGAAATACTCTGTAACAGGTAGACGTCCTGCATTCAAAATGTAACTTATAGTAACTAAAAAACACAAAAATACTCTTTAGTATATCTAGAACCATTATCAAAAGTGGCCATTTTTGGAATATTATATATTATATCATGGATTTATAATTAGTGATGCATTAATGTTTGTATCATTGTAATTGTGTATCTAAGATGAGATAACATTAATAACTTGCTAAATAATAAGCTGATTTAATTTTTTTAATTATAAAATGAACCTGCAAATCAACTAGTAACATCCAATACATGTAGAGTGAAAAGTATTCACTGCCAACATGTAGTTGAGTAGAAGTACATGAAATAGAAGTACTCAAGTAAAGTATATGTACCTACATTTTGTATGACCTAAGTACAGTTCTAAAGTAAATGTGTTTAGTTACTTTCCACTGCATGTGATGTCACACCAAAGTTACACTCTGGGAGTTTTGAATAATAATTAGAAAGCCATTTTCAGTAGAAATAAAAGCTCATAAAAACATCATGGAACGGATAGTATGACATTATTTGAGGACTGGCTCAGGATTAGGCTGAGCTATATTTACATCGGAACTAAACTTGGATTAACTTTAAGATGCCATACATCAACCTTTACTTTACAGTTTGAATGCAGAAGAATCATTGATATGATGTTGCCGTTACCAATATCTGTATGCCATTTTTAGCAACTTTCCATTATATGTATAATAATAATAATAATAATTTGTATTTGTATAGCACCTTTCATACACACTTCACAGTAGACAGTTGACATTCCCTAAAATAGTCACAGTAAATTGATATCAGAAAGACGTTACTAGTAAAAGACAAATAAGCATAACATGAGCATAGAATACACATATACAAAAAACATTCAAAGTTACGACAATAAAATGGTGCATTAAAAGGAGGATAGTGCACATTCACATAGACAACTCCAAATAATGGCAGGTGACAGTTAATGATGCATAATATTGCATTTAGAAGGGCAGCAGAGAGCAAGTGTTAGCTTCCTAAAAGGCTAGTAAAAGTGTACAAATATGTTTGAAGCCCTCCCTGATGTCGAGGTATTGTGTTTCACAGCTTTGGGGCGTAATTGAAGAGAGCTGCATCACCAAACTTATTTTTGTTGCCAATTAAGTGGGACATAACTCTTTATGAGTTGGTAAAGCTGCTCCATAGCGATAGGCTGATCCTCTGTAACATGACACCAGTGATGGTGATGGAGTGAATGAGGCCATGTGGTGTTGGTGTTGGGGGGTGTCAGGATGTTTCCTCACGCAGGAAGGTGACAGTTCAGGCTGCACGTGTTATATAACAGCTCGTACCGTTAGCCACCCAGGATTTACATAAGTAATACGTGTTCTTCTGCTGACAGCAGCCTCGGCGAGACTCACATGAATAATCAGGATTATTCTGAGAGCGAGGTGTTGCTCGGCGCCCGCTGACTTTCTGGTGAGAAGAAGAGTCGTGGTTTCTAATCTGTTGGAAGGACTTATGGCTTTGTTCCTGTGCAGTCATGTAATGGAGGCTGCACTGCAGAACCCAGCAGGAACACAATGGTTCTAATAATCCGCCACACTGACAATAGCATCTCTATTCCTTGGAATTGTATTAGTGTTAAGAAGAGTTCCATTTGACCGTGAATATTGGAGCCTGCAGTTATCACTGCACTTTCTAAGATTGTGGATACATTTGTCAGTTTAATGAACCATATGATGTAAATGAAGTATATGCTCAGGTGTCAGGCGTATGTAGAAGATGTCACGAGAACTGATGTGGATTTGGCAGGAATTGCTAACGACTGTTACCTTTCTGGTATAATGACACACGTAGTTTGAGGAGTAGTACCTGTATGCATCAAAATACATTTCAGAAGCAGATCAGGGAATCACCAGTGCTCTGATTTTTCTCCAGCGTTTCATAAAAGGCTTCTTAGCGCTTTGAGCACAAGGAAAAGCGCTATATGAATCACATGTATTAATAATATTATTATTATTAGCTGCAAATGGCTCTTGCAGGTACACCAGCCAGGAGGGAGATGTCCTATGTTCGACTTTAAAACAATACTGACTGACTCACCAAACCAAGTTCTTAAATCTGCAGGGTTTTCATATTTGTACTGAGATTTCCTTTTGAGGTTGTTTTGACTAAATATGCAGCATTTATGCAGATGACACTCTTAAATAGCCAATCAGTGTAGTCAATCCACATGTGTGTATATGACACACCAGTTACTTGTAATGGTCATGCCTGATGGATATGTAATAAACACAGTGAGGAATTTCAACCATGCTAAATAACTTGTGCTAATGCATATTTACAAGCACTTTCAAGGTTCTGTTGTTGCTGACTCTCCATATTCCCCCAATGTCCCAGAGATAGCTGTGAACTAAGATTCCATCTTAATGTGATGGCAGTCTAATAGAAAGTTAGATCAAAAGAGGAGTATCCATCAGGGGGGAGGCCGCTGACATCCTGCAGCGGACAGGTGAACGAGCCCTGGAGGATCAGAGAGACGGGTGTTAATGTTGGAAGGGATTAGTATCCAAATCTCTTACTATGATTGTTTCACCACTAACAAACTCCTTCGAGCATTAGTTCACAACCAGATGCAGGTTCAATGATTACCTTTTATATTTATGTTCTCACAGATTAGTTATCCTGCGTGATGAATGCTCATGTATTAACTTCTGATGTATTACTACGACCAAGTTATCCTCCTTGCTTTGCTAACACACTATCCATTCAGACCTGCTCATTGTTCCATGCAGCTCTTGATTTCCTGACAATAGCATTCCATTGACTTTTTTTGTAATAGCATTTTTGATGTATACAGCATGCTAACTTTTGTGCTCAGCTTCAAAATGGAACCCCAGAAGGTATTCCCAATAATATGTTTCAATCTAAGTTATGTCAAATATATCATCAAAGAGACTCTGTGAATATTTGCTTCCGTATATCATCTCTCAAGTTTCTTTTAGTACATTTGACAACATTGTTTTTTTGTTTTCTTACAAAAGTGTGATGAGATTATTGATAGCAGTTTTCCTGCTGCTGCTTTATGTGGAGAGTTGTGGAAGGATTGCTCGGCCCAAAATGAAAATGAATATATAACAATGTTACCAAACCAGAGAGGGTAGTAAAAACAATTCATGGCTTTAGAGGGAGTTGCATTTTGTTATCTTTGTCTTCACCAGCTTTAAGAGTTATGAGATAATAAAAGTCATTAATGAGCTTTAGAGGTTGTTTTACTTCTTGCAGATTTCCTGGTGTTCGAGGTTTCACTTTTGAACTTTTCTTTTGATTCTAAATGCATGTCTCATAAAAGTTGAGATTATGAATAGCCTCACAAAGCCTGTGGGTGTTTCAGTGAGGTGAAGTTATCGGTGAGTCCATTTTTAATCAAAACCATAAAGGGGTTATGTCTGTTATCAGTTTATGACTTTGAGAAAGTGAAGTCCCTCCACCATCGTGCCTTTTACTAATCAGAAACGTAGAAGCTATTAGATCCTCCACACACTCAGACTCTCACTGCTAATGTGATTATTGGTCAAGAACCAGAAAGCTGTGTCTGTGTGTCTATGTGTTTGTTTGTGTTCGTCTGTGTGTGTGTGTGTGTGTGTGTGTGTGTGTGTGTGTGTGTGTGTGTGGTGTGTGTGTGTGTGTGTGTGTGTGTGTGTGTGTGTGTGTGTGTGTGTGTGTGTGTGTGTGTGTGTGTGTGTGTGTGTGTGTGTGTGTGTGTCCTTCAGTTTGAAATGGAAAAAGCCCTGAAGTTTCTGCTTCATCTCGATGATATCCAGTGTAAAATCTATTGAAACGCTCTTGCTGGGCGGCACCATTAAGTCTGCTCATCCCGTGTACTTGACTGCAGTTTGTTAGCTTCCGTAATTCAACTCAAGTGAGTATGACCTCATCCAGCCTGAAGTGCTCTTCCTATTAGATTATATGCAGTCAGCTGAATGGCCATGTCTCAATGGGAAGCTGACACCCACAAGCCATGTCTACAAGCCAAATAACAGCCAGCATTTACTCTGACAATGACATTACCAGCTAGTGATGACTCATCAGAGTCAATACTGACAACAGGTCATCACAGCCATGTATGACAACTGGTGGTCCATATGCACCTCAACATGCATACTCATGTCACACATTCATTAGAGCACTTTATGTCAATAAGTGAACGCACAAACTGTGTGAAAAGCTCTGTAAATATTGGTTTTCGTTCATTTAA